AAGTCAAGACGGTAAGAAACAAACTAGTAAAGTTTACTGGCTGACAGTCACTCACAATAACTCATGCTGATGAGTGGGGATTTGCTCCATGTGGTCAAGCTCTGAAACAGAGTACTCAGCAGGTTTTGGGACTCTGGATTGGGGTTTCGATTTGTGAGGGAGAGTTAAAGTTATTTGGCTTCCTGATTTAAGGGGCAGTGGTGGAGCATCAGAGATACAAGCTGTAATTAACATATCGCTGAAATGTTTGCTTTATACTGATAATCAAACCAAAATGACTAATGATGACTGAATGATGAACATTTCCCTGTTTAAGGAAGGAAGAAAAGTGTCCACACTTACAATATAGTTAAGCTTTTAATTTGACTAACTCGTGGAACAGAGTCTTTTAGCCAGAGCCGAATAGCATTTTACTCACTATTTCATGTTTCCTCATAGCAGAAGGAGTTTCATCACAATTCCCTGCATGTGCATCCTTTAATAGTATATTTACATCCTGTATACAGACACAGTTTCATACAACTAATTTTTGAAAAGCTCATTGTGAGACACAGTGGAATAAGTGCAACGTTTACCGAAGACGCTTGTCTTGCTTTAATCTTTGTAAACTGATGTTTGTGAACTCTGCTTCATACTTGGATTTGCTTTTTTCTTTTAGTAAGTTTACAGTTTGGAAAGTAGAGGACGCTGTCCCCTGCAGCACCAGATTCTGTTTGTGAAAAAACAAGGGAGGGGCAGCCAATCAGAAGAAAGCCTACAGAGACTGTAGCCTTAAATTGAGACACTTGTTTCAGACAGGGTATTAACTGAGCACCCAGCGTAAGATAAATGAGGATTAGTTTGAACTATGAGTCATGTAAAATTATTCCAGTGGAGTCCAAGAATAAAAATACAGAGACAGCACAATAGGTCTACTTCACTTTGTGAGCCTCTGTGCGCTTTCCGCTTCTGCTTCCAGTCACAGGAAACTTCTATTAAAGACAGAGCGAGTTAACTAATACATTATAAATAAACTGTACATAATTATTATCGTTCACTGGAAAACCGAATCCATATGTATGCTTACAAGCTCTTTTCGTATTCTCTTAAACATCTGTGCTTGTGGCCGTTTGTATAAACCTCTTAAGATTTCACTTTAGATTAAAGCCTCGGGCAGTTCAATTCAGTTTTATTTGTATAGCACCAAATCACAACAGATCTGGCTCAAGTCGTCTCAAGGCGCTTTGCACAGTAAGGACAAGCCTTCACAATATTATAGAGACAAACCAAACAATTCCCTTTGAGCAAGGACTTGGCAGCAGTAGGGAGAAAAAAAAACAACAACTCCCTTTTAACAGGAAGAAACCTCAGGCAGAATCAGACTCGGGGAGGGCGGCCATCTGCCTCAACCGGTTGGGGTGAGGGAAGAGTGAAGAGCGCAAAGAAGAGCACTGAGAAGCAACAAACAACAAATACTCACCAGGTTGCTGAGGCCAGTAACAGATCAGAGACATGAGTCGGAAATACCCGCAGAAAGGTATAGGGAGAGAAGGGGGGGGGGGGGGGCACAGGAGAGAGAAGACACAAGAGACATAAATGGCCTCTTCCTCAGGGAGAGACTGCATGTTCTCTGTGTGTACCCCCAGCAACACCACAGCTTTAAACTTCTGCAGCATCAATTTCACCCTTGCACACTTAACTGTACCCACAACTGCTGTTCAGAGTGACTCAGTCCAGCTTAGCAGACACACAGCAATACCCAAATCCCTCTTCCTTTTAATTCGCACTCTCTTGGCGGGGTGTTAATGGCTTACACAACAGATGTTTAGTATGCTGCGTTTAGGTCCATGTGAGCCCAAGCCACCCGCAGCCTTATATATGACAACCTGTGACTCTTATCTCGGAGGCAAAATAAGCCCGTTAACACTTTACTGCACATATGCTGCTTGCATGAAGTAACAAAGGCAAAGGCACGTGCGAGTGCGCACACAAACGGGAAAGGGAGGAAGACGGCATGCAGAAACAGCGAGTGTGGGATATGGAGTGTGAATGAGAAGGGATGAGATGGAGGAAGTGACAGAGAGAAAAAGAGTGATGACAGCTTCCATCTGCTGCGGAGCCACGGACCGCTTCCTCAGACAGAGATACCCACTTGGATCAGTACGTACGTATACACAGTAATGGAGTAATGAGGGTATTTGACAGAAGTGTGCTTTATAGCAACAATTAGTGGGGGAGGAAAGTCGCATCTTCGCGTATAGAGCAGTCACTGTTCTGAAACAGCTGCAGTTCTGATTGGGAGATGAGTGACTTTCTTCATAACTAGATGCTGATCTAGGCAACCCCAGACAAGCACGCCAGAGGCAAAGTCGGACTCGGGTTTAGACACTGAGAATTGGAGTGCAAAGCTAATTTAAATTCAGTAAATACAATGGCTATACATGCTTTTTTCTTCTTTTCCAGGAAATTCTAGAGCGGCTGCAAAGGCTAAAAAAGAGGTGTGATGCGTTCACCAGTTTGACATGTTGACCCCGAGGTGTACAAGAAAGGCCGGCACATCCACTCTTTCTCTCACGCAAGAGCTGGTCTTGTCATGGGTAATATTTTCACCTATCTCGCTGTGCGGTCACATCAGCACAATGATTCTAATGAAATTGGATTTTGCCTACCGCTGATATCTTGTAGTACAGGTGTGCAAAAAGCCCCCAGGTTGACAGTTTAATGCTGCATTCGTGTCATATGGGAGCGATGGTAGATATAAGCCCCTCACTAGAGAATACCTGTCGCTTTAGCTTCAGCACTCAGCTAACAAATGTTACAAGGAAAGAACATTTAACCTCAGATTGTGGAGTTATTCCAAAGCTCGGGTGATGTGATTGATCCTGATGTTCAGAGCACTTCCTGATATCTGACATCTCATTGTAGCCATCTCTGTTTATACTGTATATTGTACACTATGGGCCTTTTTGACTTGTGGGGCAGGGAGTGTGAAAAGCACTGACAACATCAATCACAGGTGAAAAACACATGATAATCAATTTGATTACATTGAATGATGGATGAGACCCCACATTTCTAATTACAAACTGATCTAACAGAATACAGAAATGTGTCTTTTTTCTGTCTCTTTTGAGCCTTATAAAACAGTTAAAGTGTTACAGACTTAACTGTAACTCTACTCACGTGTTACAGAGTAGGGGACCCTTAAAGTCTTACTTCTTTGGCATACAGTGAAATAATCCCTGCTCATTGCCTGCTGTTGCCATGCTTTCCATAAACAGAAACTGATTCTCTGGTGAAGGACCATGTCCTAGTGGCATCAACAGGAACTACGCATTCTGGATCATGACACCTGTACCAAGGAATATAGGAAGTATGAGCCAACACCAAACTGAAAAAGGATGGGAGGTGGAATACACATTATGAATGATGGTAATAAAAACGTATTTCAGTCAGGCAAGTTCTAGTTTGCTTAATACCACTTTCTTACAAAAGGCTGCCCATATTGTTCCATTATTCGTTCCAGTTCTTTGGTCAATTTACACCATCAAAATAAATCAAATGAAAAAGATTTGAAACTTCAATTTTCCATTTTTTGATTACTTCACAAATGGACTTGTCCGTGCCCCTGGTTAAAATGTTAATGTTTCATATTGGGCTGTTGCTTCAGAATTGGATTTTTGAACAAAAGAAGGGACTCTTTTTAATTTTCCGGGCACTCCTTTGTGGTTGGACTGGATCATTAGAGCATTCGCAGAGTCTAGAGCCAGTTTAGAGTCTACAGTCAGCAATAGACCGGGTAATACAATCGCAGTATGTATCATATAGGCCAATGTTACCTTGGCTAATTTATTATCACACTGTGTTAGACATGCATAAAATGTCTTCAGCCACAGGTCAATGTATTTTTGTATTATACCTTACATGTGCTGTAGTAGACTAATGTGTCCTTGATTGGCTACATATTTATTAACCATTTTTATTTATTTCCCAGAGATTTTTTAATCCAAAAATATTGCTTCAAAAATGTATAAAGCAAATAAGAAAAAAAAATAACTTCTTATCTAAACTGAACAAGTTTTGCGGCTTCAACGAAAGACTGTATATAAAAAATGGATTTAGTTACTGTGATGCCATCTATTTCAGCTTTTTGAAACCAGATGCCGGGACTGAAGAGTATATGTGATTAAATCAGCAATCCCGCTCCATCACGATTCACAGGTTATTGCTATAAAAAAACAACAACAAATGCAACCTTGAACCTGAACACAGTTGGGGTGAAGACCCATTAGGCAATCATCGTGTACAAGTTTCAATAAAATCTCCTTTCAGAGTAAAATCTATTCTGAAGGGAGTAGCAAGTCTTGTAAAAATTGCCCATAAAACAATAAATATGATTTTGGCCTTGACAATTGAGATGGCTACTCATTAGATAATCATTGTGTAAGTTTGATTAAATTCTGATCAGTAGTATAGGAGGAAGATTAGAGGAGAGAGGGTGATTTTGACAACCTCCTTTTGCAGCCAGAGGCATTTATGCTTATTGATGTCCTTGTTATGTCCATCTTTTATATACAGTCTATGGCTTCAAAAAATGCTATACAAAGAATAACAAGCAGTTTGTGAGCAAGCTGATATTGAGCCGTGTTGTCGATCTCTTATGCCTGGCAGAACATAGCAATACCCAGGCTAAATGAACTGGGTCGTTTCTATTTTATGTGTCTCATATCATATAAAATATAAATTATTTTATGATATGCTATCTTACAGGGTACAAGGTTATTTGGCACAGCGATTCCCTTAGCTGGCTACAAAAGTGCAGATACGTAATGGTCTCACTGTTATATGGTCTTCCAACCGTAGTGTGCAGCTCTGCACACTTCCGTACTCTACTGGATTTGTCATACCCAGTCTTGCAGTCATGAATGTGCACCCATATGACGTGAGACACTCCAGCACATGACATATTTGGCTTTAAAGTGACGTCACGGCAGCGTGGGGCTCAGCAGGCAGATCGTTCGTCAGTCTGAGAGAAGAGGAGCAGCAGGAGGAGACGTGCCGGTCTCCTCTCCGCTGTAATGACAAGCCCTCACAGCCACTCTCTCCAACTCCTCTGAAACAACCCTCAGCCTCCAGGATTTTCCTCCGCCGCTTCCCCTCTTCCTTTTTCTTTTCAGTTGCACCTTATTTCATTTTATTTTCATTTATTTTACTTTATCTAACCTCTCAACCACCCCCCTCCACAGAGATGTCAACAGATAATGAAGACCCCCTGCCTCTGGTGATTTGAATCCTCCCTGCTTCAGAGAACTGAACATTCTCATCTTCCGCCCCCCATTTTTTTTCCAATTTTCTTTTTTGGACGTTCATCTGCCGTTCAGCAATGTAGGAGAAGTGACGGCGTCATTTCAGCAATGAGGATGCCAACTGCATGCCCCGATTTCGGCTCTCGGCATCTTGCATCTTTGCCTTTTCTGCCGGGGGCTGAAAAATGAACGATTTGCGTGAAGGCAAAGTTTGAGGGTACCTCTTTCGGTTTCCCGCTCACCTGTCCGCCTGCACGCGCCTACCCCCTCTCTCTCCTCTCGGCTGGTGAGCAGGGAGAGCAAATCATCGCCAACAGAAGAACTGACGAACAACTTCAAAGAGACCCGACTATTGTTCTGGTATTTTTAGTGGAATTTTTTTTTTTGTTTTTTTCGGCAGTGTTTTTTTCCTCCTTTTTCCCCCCCCAGTCCTTTTTTTGGGAGGAAATTGATGTGCGCAACGTAGAAGGATATGGCTTAAATGATGTTTGCGTTGACAGCTGGAGTAAGGTCCGTAACTTGAGTGCTTTCTTTTCATCAGCAATTGCCGACTTTGGTGGAAAAACCCATCCAAATGGGAGGATACCTGGAGGACTGAGTCGGTTTTCGACAGTCGAGAGAGAGAGAGAAAAAAAATGTGGATAAAACGGAGTGTCGCGCGCAGGTAAGGCACAAATTATTTTGTTCAGTAATTACTTTGTACTTAAATTCTTGAATGATTAGGGGGGGAAATGTAGACTGTGATTGTGCATTGTAATTTCTCTTCAACAGCGTGTCTCAATTTTTTCTTTTAAATCTACGCCACTGCAAGTTATTAGAGTCTGCTGGAATTGATGAACGAATAACATAGATCAATTGGACTGTGAAAAACGCGAGGCTGTGGCTGCCGCTGTGTCAGAGTTATACACATATTAGCTGATTTAGTGTTGGTAATAAAGAATATCCGGGTACGGGCTTTCTATAGATATGTTTTGTGATTTTTAAAACAATTGTTAAGGAAGAAAATAATTGGAAAATTTCACATCCTGTACGCTGGGGGTCGCCAACAGTACGGCGCAAGCGACGCACATACATTCGCAGATAACAGACGCGTGCTCAAAGCGACACGTGTGTAGACACACGCGCGCGTGCGCGTGCACAGTCTCAAGGTTAGGTCTGTCAATTCCTCCCCACTTGTGAGAATAAACGCGTCCAGGTGAGCTCCACGTGCAATTCATTGGCATAAAGTGAAGGTAAAATGAGGAAATAAATAAAACTGAGAAGCTTTGCCCCCCAAAATATTAAAGTAGGCCTACTTGGTGTTCTGATGAGTGCGTATCCAAGCACAAGGAGAGGATGGCATACAAAATATCTGTGCGCAGGGGTCAGCTTGATCACACTGAACAACACCTCCCTTATCTTTTTAGGCTACATTAAAGTCTTTTTGCCAGAGAATTTTTTTTTAATGATAGATATGATAGAACTACATCTCTAAAGTGAAGATATAGAAAGTAGGCTTCAGACTCCAACTGATGAGTGAGGAAGTCTAAACAAAAGCCCTAAGTGAGATCTTTCATTTGCCCAAAAGTGGGTTTACAGGTAATGACACACTGCAAAATGAGACCAAGTCTGTTTTCTTGCCACCTGCTGGATCCCATTCCCACCGGCAGTTCATATTCCTGCCCAGTTGCAGCCGTACATTTGTTATGCATGACACACGCTGTACATCTTTAGGGCTGACCTCGCAGGGTAATGGCAATGCACGTCTTAGACAGAGCAGTTGTGCGAGATGATGAAATGAAATGCCATGCCTTTAGATGGATCGGCAAGGGGCACAGAGAAACCAATTTCCATCATCGGGAATTTCCTTGTCACTTGCTCACACAAACTGGAATGTCCAAATGGGACATTGGACGATCTGCAGCCGCTGTTATGGACTGAAGTCGCTTGTTATTAGCAGTAATGTACCCTGTTTTGTAGTCAGGTATTTTTACTGGCTTGGGCCTTTTCAGGGCACAGAAGTTATTGTGCACACAGGAATCTGTGCACATGCATTAATGACAATAAAGTTGTTTATGTGACAGAGATCTGTCCATTTTCCTTTACGTTAAACCCCAATTAACAAAACTCGTTAAAGAATATTAAAATGCTCTCCGTAGTTCAGTAGCTGTAGCCGAAGCGTCTTCATGAGGTGCCCACGGTTACTCTGTGCACGAGAAACCCCGCCACAGTCTAAAGTTTTTCATTGCTGTCGCTGATTGTCAGACGTTGATGGCAGCAGTTGGTGGCGGGGCTTTTACTGGAGTGATTTCCTTCCCTTCAGTATGGGTGGTGAAAATATTTGTTTTCCTTTGTTTGAAAAAAAAAGGATGGATGAACTGAATGTGTACAGAGAAAGCCACTGTACCTGTTGGAAGAGACAAAGAACAAACCACCTACAGAAAGTAAATATGTGGGCGTAAATGCAACCGCGCTGGCTTCAGTAGACCAGGAGAAAAAAAGGGCTGATGGAGAGTTACAGATACAATTTTAAAAAACAAGGCTTCTAGAGATGACTACAGTAGTTACTCATCGTTCTGGGCAAACCGTCTCATTAAGACAGCCTGTGGGCTAAGGCTGGGCTTTAGTGATTATCACTATTATTTATAGATTACTAAAAAGACTGTAAAGATGTGATGATAACATGGGAACAAATTGTAATTGGGTTCTTATTTCAGAAAAAAAATGTCATTTAAAGTAGCCATCCCAAATTGTAAACCAGCTGTTTGTTGGTGTGCATTCAGTTTTTCTCGTAAATGGATAACAATGAATGCTCATGACCTGCGACATGCTTCACTGTCTGTGATGTGTGAAATCTTCCAGTCAAAGCTAAATGCTGGTAATTTGCAGCGTTATAACGAGCTTGAACCAGAGAGCATCTGACTCGAGGGTTAACCAGCGGGGATTCGGCTCTCACACACTCGGGATCTCTGGGCTGAGCCTTTCATGGATGTCACACAGTTTCAGGTCCCCCATGGCGAGCTCTTGTACAGCTGAGGCACCGGAGATGCTATCAAGCCTCGGCACACTGCGGCAGTAAAAAGCGTTGCCGACTGAGACACCAGTTGCCTTTTACGAAGGCTTTATTTGTCTTGTTTCACTTGCCTGGAGGAGGATTGTAAAGCGTAGATGGCTGTGTCTTTGTATGTTTAGCCTTTTCTGCTCAATAGGCATACATCGAGTGATCAAGAGTGATACATCGAGTGAATTTGACAGTAGTGATTCAGATATGCACTAAAAAGAAAAGAGAGTGGTTTTAATGAGCTGTGAGCTGCCTAATATTGCTACACCTGGTGATAATTTCTTTGGTATTTTGCGAGTTACTCCTGTGTGAAAAAGAAAACTGTTATAATAGTCTAATTCTGATTAATATCACGGGCTTAATGAGAAGGGTTCCTCATGTATTACAGTTTGCAGTGAGGTGTTTTTTTCTTCCCCAATGAGAAACAGTTGCACAGCATCATCAGTCTGCAGCTGGTTATATTACAAGCCGTGGTTCTCTTAGCTAGCCCTACTAAGAACTCCAGGGCTAAACATGGCATTACTGTGTTAGGGGCCATCAGATATTCAGATATTCCTATGATTTAGGTGCCATCTTAATAGCGTCTATGAGGGTTATTAACTGGGCCTCTCTGGAGCGTGATTAACCTAATTTGCAGTGAAATAGGCTGTGTTGCTTCTTGGAGATCCTATCCTCTGGAGGCGTGTGTGTCTGTGTGTATGTGAGAGTGTGTCTGCATGTGTGTCATTAGCACCCTGTGCTCAGCAGGAATCTGTTAGATCCAGAAGGACCGGTACAGGTTGTCCCTTTCTAATGACATAAAAGACAAAAAAGCCATGGACGCTGTCCATCTAAACCTTCTGGAAATACCTCTGAGAAAGAAAGAGAACAAGAGAGAGGCTAGCTGTTGTTGAAGACGTGGGTGAAACATGAACGACCTGTCACTGACTGGCATAGCAATTAGCAGAGAGGAGTCAAAGGCAGAATGGGACCGTAACTGCTACTGTGCTTTCATTTCTTACTGCAACACATGAGTGCATATCGGAAGCTTGAAATGAGAAGCCTGGAGTTAAGCTCATTAAGTTTTTTCTTTCTTTTTTTTTTTAAAACCGAACACTTAAAATACTTGAATTTATGCGCTGGTGATCAAAAAAAAAAAAAAAAATCAATAGCAATCAGAATAAGTGTTTTGCTTTGTGGAACCGGCTGTAGACCGCCAAATGACAGTAAACCTCCGAATAAAACCTCCATATTCAGATCTCATGAATTTATAGTCCCTGTTCTAACTTTATTGGCAGCAACCTTCAGGCTGATTGTGTTTAATCACCGGCTTGTCCGCTTTGTGCTACATGAAATAAGTGTGCGTGTTTCTATCGCACTGGAGCACAACCATCCACAAAGTAAAAGAACTAACAGCACAGAACTCATACTTGATTCATGTAGTGAGCTTTTGCTGGATCAATACTGCCTCTACAAAGGATCAGACTTATCCGTCATGGCCCTTCCCACTAACTGGCCTTCTCCAGGCACTGGGGTGCCTCTCAGAGGGCCATTTTCTACTCCTCCTTCTCCACCAAAACCCCAAACTGCCACCTGCTTTATTTTGTGTTTAGCTACTTAGTGGTATTTGCTGTCAAGTTTGTCACAAGAGACAAACAAGACTTAAAGACAGTAAAGGGCTGATATGACCGAAGCATTGTCCTGTTATTTTCTTTTTCCACCATGTTTCTTTACAGCCCTGCTTATCTTTCTGAGCATGTGGGTCATGTACACTCTACTGCAGGACATTGTGCAGTGGGAGTAATTAATGGGATGATGCAACACTCTTGGCTGTTGCGCCTTAGACCCCCCCCCATATACACACATATACACACTCTGCCCCACCCATTTTCTCTTTTGTTTGTTTTCCTCGATGAATTATGTTCTGACCTCAGCAATGCAGCAATGTTTCTTACACTACGGCCATAGTAGCAGCTGCTGCAGCTCAGCCTTTCAGGCATGGATGGAGTCTTATTTGTGTGCATATCTGTTTGTGTGTGTGTGTGTGCGCGTTGCACACTACCAAAACATTTGGAAGATTTCATACAATATTTGCCTCCCAGAGGCCTGCTGCACCGAGGCAATCCATAAATCTCTGGAACTCTTTGGAAAGCCAACTGTGGTATTTATCTCCCTAATACTGGATATCTACTGAGGACAGCTTAACTCCTACACCTCGGAGCCTGCATTTTTACGAGCAATGCAAACACATGCCGCTGAGATCGCTAAAAATAAAATAGTTAAATAAATAAATATAAACACAGCAAGCATCTAGAGATAATCATAAACAGTACATTTTGATTTATGATGAGAAGAGCTAGGATTTATTTTAGAAGTAGAGTGGGGAAATAAGGGATGCACTGAGGCATTCGGGCATCATCCAAAGTAAAAGGTCATAACAGAAGTTCATGTTTCTACACAGATGATCAGTATCTTCCTACCAATGTTTCTGACCTTTCAATTTGATGTTCAAGATATTCTGGAACAAAGCTCATGTATTACAGATAACATGGAAAGGTACTGTATGTTCACTATCAGTAACTAAGGAGGGTCGCTCTGTATTTCTGGTAATTTGGAAAAAGGACAAAACATTTAGTTTCCTCAGA